GAGTGACATGCCCGTATGTACTGTCCAGCTAAGGTCGGAATATGTGTCGGCGGAGGTGATGTTGGGAGTGTGCCCCGACATACCTGTTCCAGGAGTCCAAGTGATCCTGGGGAATGACTTGTGCGGGACAAAGGTGTTGCCGAGAGTCGTAGCGGAGACTGTGCCAGAGGAGTGCCCAGAAGGCCACTGCACGGGTGGGACACCTGAGAGTGTGAACCTGACTGACATCCGAGGAGATGAGTCAGGAGACCGCCAAGCCATTGAAAACCCTGTCTCGGTAGTGACGAAGGCAGAGGTGGCCGACGAGGAAGACACTGGAGAAGGTGAGACAGTGTCGATTCAACCGGTGGAAGATATCGATGTAGATATAGCATGGCTGTTTGATGAAGGTCCAGCCCAGGAAAATGAAGTCTCGGTGAGGTCAAAAGTGAAGATGGCCCAGCCGAAGAAGAATCATGTGAAGAGAGCGGACCCGAGTAGAGCCCAGACCGCTGAAATTAAGGGTCGGAAGGTGAATGCAACTGTGCTGAGTAGGAATAAGGAAAGATGTGGACATACTGAGGACGAGAGTAGAGCGTCAAGTGGTCCACGAGCACAGAGGTATATGGATAGTGGAGTTAAGTTGTTGGAGATGTCAGGAGTTGACATGTTTCACAGAAAACGTGGAGGAGAGATAGTGAAGAAGAGTAAGAGCCGAGGAAATGAAAGAGGAAGAGACAGTATGTGTGGAGAGACGCTGATGAGCACTCTTGGAGAGTTAGAGCGACATGTACAGTCGAGTGCTGTTGGATGTAGTACAGTGCTCGAAGAAACTTTTAGGGAACGAAGAAGAGTTGAAGGAGAAGAAATGGAGTGGTATAGAGGTGAGAAGTGTGAGAAGAGGATGATGATACAAGCATGGAGGAATAGAAGAAAGCCGAGGACTCGATGGAGGTCAAACAGGATGAGGTCTCAGATAAATGAGGAGACGAAAGGGAGGATCGTCGGTGAAGACGAGGGAGTGAAGTATGATGGCAGGAGACGAAAGTATAATGGCAGTAGATGGAAGTGTGAAGACGACAGAGGAGGTACAGACAGTAGATGTCTGACTCTGGACGAGAAGAGAAGAAGACGAGGAAACGGAGGGTGGAGACAATAAGTAGAGTGGACCGATAGAGTGCAGGCGTCCAAGGAGGACAGCCTAGCTAAGAGGTGTCAGAGAAGTCAAATCGTTTGTGAGAAGATCATATTTCTGGCGAGTTGTGAGCCAGATGTTGCAAGGAGCAACGAACTAATTGTAGACTCCTAAGAGAGTATATCGGGTGAAGAACGAGACAGTGTGGTGGCGGATGTATTATCCCGAGCTTTGCCACTGGAATAACTCTCAAAAATAAGGGGAGGGGAGTGTTATGATCTCAGCCTACAGGAGAAACGAGTCTCCCTCCTTGAGAGTTATTCGTCAAGCCTGACCTGATTAGAAGGTCTAGCAAAATTTGAGGTGATAACGCATATGTAAAATAGTTGGTTGGATATGTAAAACAGTTTAAGATTATGGGCAGTAAGTAAGGAAATAGATAAATGACTGGCTAGGAGATGTGGACATTTTGCTGGAGGCGTGAGGCTCGCTTCCGGAGGACCTTGACCTCACTTGAGTGCCAGACATCGCAGGGGGAAGCCGCGCTCCGTTGAGCTCCCGTTAGAAGGGAACCCCTAGTGATATATCTCTAAGAGATGTGTTGTGTGCGGACGTACCAGCTGTGGAATCGAGCTGGGAACGTTGTGGTCTCAAGTCCTGGTCGACGAGCAGATATTAAATCGCCCAGAAGCATTATTGTGGGCCGTGGGAGCGCCCTGACCAGACGCCGTCAGAGGGAAAGCGCCCTCGACCAATTAATCTGTGGTTTGTCTTTGGGGAAGAAGTTGCTGAGAACTTCGAAGCCAGCAGATGATGTAGCTGATGAGACTCCAAGGTAGTGGAGCAGAGGACCTCGAGCTGTGAGGAGAAGCAGCAGTGAAGAGGAGTGTCACGTGCTTCTGTAGAGGTGGTGGTGTAGCAGCCAAGAGAGCTGTGGAAGAACCTAGCAGAAGGGTGAAGCACCGTAGTTGCTCAAGGAAACTTCATGATAGCAGCCTGGAGGAGCTGCAGAGGATCCTGGTAGTGAAGCCCGGAAGAACCTAAGGATATTAGGGTTGTGAACTTCCAGAGGTGGAAGGGGAAGTTCTGGTGGATTACTTATAGGGAGTTGATAGTGTTTGGTTGTCATTAGCGTGCAAGACGCAGTGAGAGGTGAGTGACTGTTGGCATTCTTATGTCAAGGAGTTTTTTATACTGAAGTATCAATGAACATTTATACTGGTATATGTTATTGCATTCAAATGCTGATTTTCTATATATACATTATCTTGCTGATAGTGCAACAGTGTATGTAGGCTTGATCAACTTGAGGAGGTTAATAGTATCAGGTGGTGAACCAGGAGATAGGATACCACTTGATAAGCTGATAATAGAGTTCTGATGGTGTTGGAGTGCAACCTGATTGTGATATTATAGAGTATAGGATTCATTATTATTATATGTGTGTATGTATCGTGTATGTGCTTTGTTCAGTAAATGTGTCACAATTTGCTGGTGTTTGCCCTTGTCCTAGTGAGGCTTCCCAGGAGGTAGTGAAGAAGGAGAGAGAGAGAGAAAGAACCAAGAACCACTGCTGTGGACAGGGTAGGAGGTAATACTAGTAAGTCATAGGGGATTGAGGAGATCATATCTCATAAGGAGAGAGTGGGGAGTCACAGCGGCTCGAGTGGGTGTGTGCACGTGACAACGAGGCTAAGTGTTGGAGCCGCATCCCCTAAACGTGTGACGTTGAGCCCCTCTCCAAGAGCCAGAAGCGCCAAGGGTGATCTCCTAGTATAAGCACTCTGCCGAGTTGTGGGTTGGGTTGTCCATAGAGAAGGATCGACGACGACAACACCAACCAACCCACAGTCTATAAGTAGCCAGAACGCACTTCTCAGCCTACTATGCAAGGCCTGATTTGCCTAATAAGCCAAGTTTTCATGAATTAATTGTTTTTCGACTACCTAACCTACCTAATCTAACCTAACCTAACTTTTTCTGCTACCTAACCTAACCTAACCTATAAAGATAGGTTGGGTTAGGTTAGGTAGGGTTGGTTAGGTTCGGTCATATATCTACGTTAATTTTAACTCCAATAAAAAAATTGACCTCATATATAATGAAATGGGTAGCTTTATCATTTCATAAGAAAAAAAATTAGAGAAAATGTATTAATTCAGGAAAACTTGGCTTATTAGGCAAATCGGGCCTTGCATAGTAGGCTGAGAAGTGCATTCTGGCTACTAGGTACGACATATATATATATATATATATATATATATATATATATATATATATATATATATATATATATATATATATATATATATATATATATATATATATATATATGTTATATATATATATATATATATATATATATATATATATATATATATATATATATATATATATATATATATATATATATATATATATATATATATATATATATATGTCGTACCTAGTAGCCAGAACGCACTTCTCACCCTACTATGCAATGCCCGATTTGCCTAATAAGCCAAGTTTTCCTGAATTAATATAATTTCTCAATTTTTTTTTCTTATGAAATGATAAAGCTACCCATTTCATTATGTATGAGGTCAATTTTTTTATTGTAGTTAAAACTAACGTAGATATATGACCGAACCTAACCAACCCACCTACCCTAACCTAACCTATCTTTATAGGTTAGGTTAGGTTAGGTAGCCGAAAAAGTTAGGTTAGGTTAGGTTAGGTAGGTTAGGTAGTCGAAAAACAATTAATTCATGAAAACTTGGCTTATTAGGCAAATCGGGCCTTGCATAGTAGGCTGAGAAGTGCGTTCTGGCTATTAGGTACGACATATATATATATATATATATATATATATATATATATATATATATATATATATATATATATAAATATATATATATATATATATATATATATATATATATATATATATATATATATATATATATATATATATATATATATATATATGTCGAACCTAGTAGCCAGAACGCACTTCTCAGCCTACTATGCAAGGCCCGATTTGCCTAATAAGCCAAGTTTTCATGAATTAATATATTTTCTCTAATTTTTTCTTATGAAATGATAAAGCTACCCATTAAATACATCTTCAGAAGGAATGATTTACAGATCGAGTGATGGGTATAAATATACCCATCACTCGATCTGTAAAATCATTCCTTCTGAAGATGTATTAATATCGAAAGTACTAAGAAAAGTCCTGTTTCATTTTCTCCGTGGTCTGACATTGTCATATGTATAATATATATAATATTTATATATATATGTATATATATATATATATAGATATATATATATATATTATAAATATATATCATATATATATATATATATATATATATATATATGTCGTACCTAGTAGCCAGAACTCACTTCTCAGCCTACTATGCAAGGCCCGATTTGCCTAATAAGCCAAGTTTTCATGAATTAATTAATTTTCGACTACCTAACCTACCTAACCTAACCTAACCTAACTTTTTCGGCTACCTAACCCAACCTAACCTATAGAGATAGGTTAGGTTAGGTTAGGTTGGGTTGGTTAGGTTCGGTCATATATCTACGTTAATTTTAACTCCAATAAAATATAATTGACCTCAAACATAAGGAAATGGGTAGCTTTATCATTTCATAAGAAAAAAATTAGAGAAAATATATTATTTCAGGAAAACTTGGCTTATTAGGCAAATCGGGCCTTGCATAGTAGGCAAGAAGTGCGTTCTGGCTACTAGGTACGACATATATATATATATATATATATATATGTATATATATATATATATATATATATATATATATATATATATATATATATATAATCTATATATATATACAGAAAGAGGAGACAGAGTGAGAGAGAGTAGAGTACCTGAGGGCAAGTTGAGTGATGCTGCTGCTGGAGGTGAGGTCGAGAATAAGTCCCCGGCAGGTGGTTCTTGAGTCTCCCCACACTTCCTGCAGGAGATTATCTCGTGTGAGTTGTTCTTGTGATGATGCCTGCTGCCATGATGTTGGTGGGAGAAGCGTTGCGTTGGGCACAAGGGACAGGATATCCCATGATGGTCGATGGTGACTATAGAAGAATGAATCTACATCCACAATTACCCTGGTCCTCACAAACCTGGCGAGGTGCAAGAAGTTTAGCAGCTTGTTTGCTCAATTTATTTTACATAAATTTTTAAAGAAAAGAACATATAAAGCTAATTATCTGTTGCTTACTTTTACCAGATCATTAGCACAATTTTATTCAATGAGCAACAAAAACAGCTAAGCATTAAATCTTACACATGAATTAAAATTAATTAACTAATTACAGATATCTGTAATAACTGTAAAAGTTTTATTAAATTTTTCGTTCAGTGCTCGCATATGTATATAACTTTTTATTTAACTTACAAATTTAAGAATTTTTGTTCTCTGAGTGGAGCTTCATAGATCGTCGCAAATAATTATCAAGCATTGCACACACATACATACACACACATATAAATAGGATAACTACAGCAGCTTACTCTACACTGGCAAACGTTAGAACATCACTTTGAAACCTAAGTAAGGAGGCATTTAGGGCGCTTTACACTGCCTACGTGAGGCTAGTCTTAGAGTATGCCGCCTCATCAGTGATTCCCCATCTGAAGAAGAATATAAGGAAACTGGAAAAGGTTCAGAGGTTTGCAACGAGACTCATCCCAGAGTTACAAGGGATAGGGTATGAGGAGCGCCTGAAGGAACTGTGCCTTACGACACTGGAAAAAAGAAGGGAAGGGGGGGGGGGGGGGATGACATGATAGTAACGCATAAAATACTCAAGGGGATTGACAAAGTGGACATAGACGAAATGTTCTTAAGGAATAGTATCAGAACGAGGGGACATCAGTGGAAGCTGGAAACTCAGATAAGTCGCAGAGATGTTAGGAAGTTTTCTTTTAGCGTGAGAATAGTAGAAAAATGGAATGCACTTAAGGAACAGGTTGTGGAAGCGAATACTATTCATAATTTTAAAACTAGGTATGATAGGGAAATAGGACCGAAGTCATTGCTGTAAACAACAGATGCTTGAAAGGCGGGATCCAAGAATCAGTGCTCGATCCTGCAGACAAAAATAGGTGAGTACACACACACACACATACAACCATACATATATTAGTGTATTTTGGTAGCAGTCTTTCTTGTAAACATATGTTGTTGAATATGACCGAAAAGGTAATGTTGGAAATTTCCAAGTTATTCTCATCCCTAATACAATAGGATGTATTTCCTGTATTAGGCTTCATAATCATTTAATACTCATTTACTAATCCATAGTATAATGGGATGTATTTCCTGTACTAAGTGTCATAATTAACTAACACTACTAATCCATAGTTTAGAATCACAGAATTCATTGCATTAGGATGTAGAACATCATTTAATTTCTCCTAAAATTGTGCTGTGTTGCGTCAGCCACCTACAAAGAACAAATTTCCATATATCTGTAGATCTAATTGAAGTCCAACCATTTACTTTCCTTTATCAAAGATAATTATTTAGTTATAGGTTTACTTTATTTAGAATACAAAAGTTTACTGGAAATCCTTTACCCAGCTTGATAGCTGCTCTAGTAAATAATAACATAATCTAAAATAATTTCAACCTCCAAAGGATTATCGTTTTATGTGTGCAGTCTACATTTATTGACCTGCACTGTGAGAATCAAACATTAACACATAAAGTATTTGATTCAGATATAAATAGTTTTCATAAACACTTCCTTCCCTATTTAGCTTTAATGAATAAATATAACTTATGTTCGGGCCCCCCCACTGGTAGCTATGCGCATGCGCGACTTTCGAGGAAGGACGGAGACTCTTGTCATATTAGATCCACTGGCAGCAAGGTGTTCCGAAGCGGTCTTTTTGTACCAGACAATTCTGCAAGCATCCGTACATCATCGGGCTTCAGATTGAGGACCCAGCTTACCAGAATCATGGACACCAGTTCGGCAGGCATTTTTACCTTTTTGTATTATTATTTTGAGCTCTAATAGTAATTAATATAGGTGTCATGTCGTGACGCTGCAGGCGATAAAATAAACCCCATGTAAGTGCTGTTTCTTACCCTCCAATTATTTAGATATTGCATTTATGTGTTCGAATACTAGTTTGGAGTGGAAATTATGGAATTTAATTATTGCAGCATGGTGCAACACCACTGAGGAAGCGCATGACTGTCAGATACTCATGTGTTCCAAGGATCATATCTCAAGGTGTTTCCTGACTGTTATAGAGAGTGGACTCCACCTACGTCCCTCTGTCACAGCTGAGATTTAATCAGTTTTCATTGTAGATAGTATGATTTAATTATTGAGAGTCAAGCATTTCTAATTATTGCATATTAATCAGATAAATGATTTGAATTTTACATGCAGTAGTATTTCAAGCATTATATTTTTTTATCATTATCTATGTGTGTGTACATATTGTCATTATTATTATTACATAATATATGTTGCACATAGATTAATCTCATAAAATATCCCCTTAAAATGTGTCTTGGGAAACTGATTCTGGAAGGTATAGAATAAACGGTTCATTGCTTAATATAAGATTAATAATTCTAACAAGAATATTCTCAATATTTCATACGTTTTTTTCATTGTCGAGGGTAATTGAAAAATTAACTCTCCAAAATTAATTTTTTTACATTTTTATTTTTGGTGTGACACCTAAATGCATTTCATAAGGGCTTCTTACATTCTCAAAGACTTGTTCACACCTAACATACATCATACTTATATTCGTTTTGGGTGAGATGATATGACGCAAATGTTTTGGGTAAGGTGGGTATTAACTGAGTATGAAAACATAAAAATGAGAGTAACTGCAGAAGGCCTATTGGCCCATACTTTCTCTTGCCTGTTGATGTGTAGTGCCTCGCTGATATCGAATCTCCTGCTATCGTTGTAACTATTGATGATTTATGTGTTGTTTGTTAAGACTTCTCTGGTGATGGTCTGGTTGTAGGAAGAGATTATATGTTCCTTGATGGAGCCCTGTTGTTTATGCGTTGTTAATCGCCTAGAAAGAGACGTTGTTGTTTTGCCTATATACTGAGTTCTTTGGGGCTTACAGTTCCCAAGTGGGTATATAAAGGCATAGACGATGGTTTCCTTCAAGGCGTTCTGTTTGGTGTCTGGGGAGTTTTTCATGAGTAGGTTGCCCCTTTTTTGTAGTAAACTGTCAATTGTATTGTCTGATTTTTGTCTGTAGGGATAACGTTCCTATTAATAATAACTTTCAGGACACTTTCCTCCATTTTATGAGCCGTCTGAAAGAAGTTCCTGTAAAACAGTCTAATAAGGGGTTAAAGGTGTTGTGTTAGTTGACTCTTCAGAGGGTGCATGGCGTTTCACATTTCTTTTTATGACGCCTTCAATATAACCGTTAGAGAATCTATTGTTGACTAGGACCTGCCTTACCCTACAGAGTTCTTCATCGACTTGCTTCCATCCTGAGCTGTGACTGAGAGCACGGTCGATGTAAGCGTTGACAACACTCCTCTTGTACCTGTCTGGGCAGTCACTATTGGCATTGAGGCACATTCTATGTTTGTTTCCTTAGTGTAGACTGCAGTGTGGAAGCCTCTGTTCCTTTCTGTAACTGTTACATCTATGTTTTCTGGTATGTCAAGAGGTTTACAAGACGGATCACAATACACTCTGTCCATTATCATCCCGATTATTTCATCGACAGGTACGTTGGTAAACAGCGACTCTACATCCAAAGAGGATCTTATCCCTACATAAGGAGTATCCCTACATAGGCACATAAGGAGTCAGCAAGCAATTGAGTCGCTTAGCCAGTCTGCATGTGGGTGTGGGTATCTGGCTGATGATTGGCCGAAGTGGGTTTCCAGGCTTGCAGGTCTTGACATTCCCATACGCATAACCAGTGTTGTATTCCCCAATAACCTTTGGCAGGTGGAGTCCGGATTTCTTGGCGTTCACAGTTTCGATCAATCTGTTTACCCTCGTTTTCAGTTCGGCTGTAGTGTCCTTCGTTACCCTTTGAAATTTAGTTCGGTCAGAGAGTATGAGGTTCATTTTTGCCAGATATTTGTCTTTTTAAGAATAACGTATATTGGCGACTTAACACCTCTCCTGACGACTATCTCCTTGTTCTCACAAAGGCTCTTAGCTGCCGCTTTGAGCTCGGGGGACAGTATGGTGCTTTTGTAGTTACCTCGAATCTTTCCTTTTTCTGCAATAAGTTCCGCTTGCAAGGTGTCTTTAGTGGTAACCTTCTTTTGCGTCTCGAGGTCGAATATGTCATCCAATAGGATCTCCAACTCTATTTTCCGGGCCATCTCATTTGGTCTGGACATAACATGACAGTTTATACCCAGATTTAAGAGAGTGATTTGGTTCTCAGTGAGGTTGATCCCAGCAAGGTTAAGAAACCATCTCTGAGTCGTGGAATCGCCATAAGTCCTCAAAATAATGTGAAATGCAATGCAACCTCTGAAGAGTCTACTAACACAACACTTGTACCCCGTATTAGACTGTTTTACAGGAATTTCTTTTCGACGGCTCATGAAACGGAGGAAAGTGCCCTGAAAGACATTATTAATAGGAACGTTAATCCTACAGACAAAAATTTGAAAATACAATTGACAATTTTACTAAAAACAAAAAAACGGCCAACCTACTCATGAAAAATTCCCCAGACACCAAACAGAATGCTTTGAATGAAAACCGACGTCGTCTATGCCTTCACACGCCCACTTGGGACTGTAAGCCCAAAAAGAACTCAATTTAGGCAAGACAACAACGTCTCTTTCTAGGCGATTAACAATGCACAAACAACAGGGCACCATCAAGGAATATATAATCTCGTCTCACAACCAGACCATCACTAGAGAAATCTTAACAAGCAACAAAGAAATCATCGATAGATACACTGATAGCAGGAGACTCGACATTAAGTAGGCAGTACACATCATAAAGTCAACTCCGGCAATCAACAGCCAATTAAACACACAACTATATTCGACCTACTTCAATACCCCGAACCAACAATGAAGCAACAAGAGAAAAAATAGGCCAATAGGGATTCTGTAGTTACTTTTGTTCTTATGTTTTCA